TTGGTTGGCCTCTTTTATCGGGCTATACCCGAAGCCCTCCGAGGGCATTTCTTCGCAAAGAGCAAAGACCCTGCCACTACATACGATTCCCTTAGTCGCGAAGTAGTGGCTTTTGAAGCCAAGTCTACGTCTATGTCCACTTTCTGGCACAAGGACTTGGACAAGGGTAAGCAATGGAAGGGCCACACTATCTCAGGGCAAGTAAAGACCAAGGACAGCCTTGTCCTAACCTTAGATGAGGGTAGTGTGGATGAGATCCCCTACGACCAGATTGAGTGGGGGTTAGAGGAGGAGGACAGCGGTGTGGGCCAAGGGAGATCTTACACTGCTGTCACGGCTGGAGGGAGGCCGCAAGGAGGAAGAGGCCAGGGCCAAGGGGGCCGGGCCTCAGGGAGTCCATTTCAGGGCGATCAGGGGGTTGGCGGCAGAGGAGGAAACCGCCAAGCGGGAGGCAGGGGTCAAGGTCCCCCGCAAAACCGTCCTAGGAATAGGTCTCCCTATAGAATAGGAGGATGGCACCCAGGGCTACCTCAGGGTAGGCCTTGGGAATCTTTGGGTCTGGACCAGGCTTTATGGCAACAACGATTGGACCGGGGCCAGTGCATTTTTTGCGGTGACCCGGGCCATATCATCAAATATTGTCCTAAGTATGGAGAGACCCGAACGGCTGCCCAAGGGCCAAAAGGCAGCCGCCGGTAGGGGTAGCAATTGCCCCTACCATTAGGCCATGTGGGGAACATAGCGCTAGCCGGCAGGAGACTCCCACACCACATGTGCCTATGGCAGAGGTTGCAGGCCGGTGTCTAGACAGCTGTCCAGAGACTGCTTGTGTCAGGGTCTCTTTAGACACCTCCCTCACAGGCGTGGCCGAAGAATTGAAGGAGAGGATGCCCGCCGGGGCCAAGATGAAAAAAGAACAGAAAGGACAACTAATTCTGGTAGATGTAGAGATTTTTAGAGGTAGAGTAGGGGCCCTAGTAGATTCAGGGGCTACCCRCARCTATATTAGTAGGAAGGCGCTGCAGAAGTTGAAGCTGGGGCTTAAAGTCCAAAAGCTAGCAGATCCCATAGTTAGTATCCTCGCAGACAATCATACTATGGTTGTAGAGGAGTATGTAGAGGGAGTCCAGACGTATTTCCGCCTAGAGAAGGATGGGAAAGTGGAGAAGGTCCTCCACTCCCTGACTCTCCTCGTAGAAGACAGCCTCGCATTCAACATTGTTCTGGGAATGGATTGGGGAGAGGCAGCCGGGGCCACGCTCCATTTGAAGGAGCACGAGTGTAGGCTCCCTAGTTCTTCAGGCGAGGCTAAGACTGCCCGCTTGTTCCATGTGTCAGGCGTAGAGAATTCCTTGGCACATTGTTGCCTAAGCGCGCCCGCATTCGCCAGATTGGTGAAGAAGGAGAAAATGGAGGAACAGGTCTTTGTCGCCTATATTAGGCCAGTGACTGAGCCTAAGGAAGAGAAGCCCGTAGACCCTACTATTGCCAAATTGCTGGAAGAGTTTAAGGATTTAACTAAGCCGCCGACAGGCACGGTGCCGCGGCCCATCCAGCACCGTATTGAGATAGAGCCTGGCAGTAGAACTCCTAAGGGTGTTGTATATAGGATGTCCCCGCGGGAGTTAGAGGAGCTACGAAAGCAATTGGACGAGCTCCTCGAAAAGGGTTAGATTAGGCCCAGTTCGTCTCCTTTTGGAGCCCCTGTTCTCTTTGTCCCTAAGAAAGAGGGAGAGTTGTGTATAGACTATAGGGGTCTGAATGCTATTACAGTAAAGAATGCTGAGCCACTGCCTGGGATAGACGATCTCTTAGATCGAGTGCAGGGGGCGAAGTATTTTTTCAAGATAGATTTGAAGTCCGGATATCATGAGATACTACAGATAGAGGTACATCCTGATGATCAGTATAAGACAGCCTTCCGGACTAGGTACGGGCACTATGAGTTTATAGTGATGCCCTTTGGACTAACCAATGGGCCAACTACGTTCCAGCGTTGTATGAACGATTTGTTTAGGCCATGGTTAGATAGATTTGTTGTAGTGTACCTAGATGACATTCTAGTGTTTAGCAAGACCCTCGACGAGCATCAGGGTCATCTCAGGCAGGTCTTGGAGAAGCTGAGAGAAGCTAACTTCAAGATCAATGCGAAGAAGTGCGATTGGGCGAAGACCCAAGTTTTGTATCTAGGCCACGTCTTGGACGGAGACGGCGTTAAGCCAGAAGAATAGCAAGATCATAGCGATTAGAGATTGGCCCACGCCACGTACGCTGACAAAGTTGCGTTTTTCCTGGGCTTAGCAAATTACTACAAGAAGTTCGTGAGGAACTTCTCCACCATCGCTGCGCCCCTTCACAGATTGCTAAGAAAAGAGACAATCTGGAAGTGGGACAAGGACTGCACGTCTGCCATGAAGAAGCTAAAGCAGGCGTTGATAGAGTACCCGGTCCTTAAGGTCGCCGATCCGTCCTTGCCTTTTGTCGTTACTACGGATGCTAGCCAGTACGGCATAGGCGCAGTGTTACAGCAAGACAATGGCAATGGGTATAGACCCGTAAAGTTCATGTCCGCTAGAATGCCTTCAAAGAAGGTCGCGACATCTACCTAGGAGAGGGAACTCTACACTCTCAGGCAAGCCTTAGACCACTGGAAGCACTACTTGCTTGGGAGGCACTTCAAAGTCTATTCTGACCATGAAACGTTACGATGGTTAAAGATGCAGGCCAAGATGACACCTAAGCTTACTAGGTGGGCCGCAGAGATAGATCAGTACGACTTTGAGCTCAAGCCTGTCAAAGGGAAGTACAACGTAGTCACGGATGCTCTGAGTAGAAGAGCTGATTATTTTGGGGCAATAGAACATTACCTCGATATAGGAAAGGATCTGCAGCAGCAGGTTAGAGAAGCCTACGCGCAGGACCCTATCTATGGTGAGCTCCTTAAGAAAGTCAAGGAGGCCCCAGAGACCGAGCCGAACTACCGCACTACTGAAGGGTTGCTTTTTGAGAAGACTAATGTTTTTGATCGATTGTGCATCCCCAATAGCGAAGAGATCCGCAGTCTGATCCTGGGAGAATGCCATGACACGGAGGGTCATTTTGGTTGGCAAAAGACCTTAGCCAATCTGATGCGCGCGTATACCTGGCCAGGGATGAAGAATGACTGCGTAGAGTATGTTCGCAGTTGTAAGGTCTGCCAGCGTAACAAGTCTTCTACGCGTGCCCCGTTAGGTCTTCTCAGACCCTTGCCCATTCCGGATCAGCCGGTAGACTCAGTGTCAATAGATTTCATGGACACTCAAGTCAAGAGCAGGCATGGCAAGAGCCAAGTCATGGTCATAGTTGACCGCTTTAGCAAGTACGCAGTTTTTGTTCCTTTGCCTTCTGAGGCGCGTACTGATTTACTCATACAGAGGTTCTTTGACTGTTGGGTTAGTGAGAATGGAATCCCGCTGTCTATAGTTAGCGATAGAGATAGTCGCTTTACTAGCCAGAACTGGCAAGAACTCATGGGAGTATACGGATCTAAGTTGTTGATGTCGTCCGGCCGCCATCCAGAGACTTACGGTCAGACAGAGCAAATGAACAAGATCCTGCAGCAAGTCCTGCGCATGTATATTAGGCCAGATCAGATTAACTGGGATGAGATGTTGCCCCGAGTAGCTAGTGCGTACAATAATAGCGTGCATCTAGCCACCTGCCGCACTCCCAACGAACTGCACAAGTCCTTTAGACCGCGCAGACCGTTTGAGGGACTCAACCGGGATCAGATT